TTTTCAGCTGAAAAAAATGGTTGTTTTCACGGCCGGTTGGCCCTTTTCAGGGCCCCAAATGATTAAAACGTAGAAAATTCAATAAAGCTATTATTATAGTTGGACCTTTCCTTCCTCCTATTGCCCCGGAACTATTCCACTTCAAAATTCAACACATAACATCGTTTTAATTTCAAACAGAATGGCGCTTGTGGTGGGTTCCCCTTCTCCGTGATAATGAGGCGACTTCCCCTTCCACAATCCATTCAATTTTGAATCTTTCCTGAGAATACAAATCCATACCGCGTTTCAAATTAAAAAAAAAAAAATTTCAATTATTTTTCATTTTTTTTCTCTTTTTTTTTATTTGACCCTCTCGATGTTGGACCCTTGTGCAATTATCTCATTTGCTCATCCCCTTGTAACGTTCGACTTTCGTGGAAAATGGCCGTCGTAACATTCGCCTGTTGTGGAAATGAATTGCTCTATTGTGACCCTCGTGACATTTGACTATCGTGAAATTTGACCACCCCTTTGGGACCCTCGTGACCCTTGACAAAATTTGACTATCCCCTTGTGACCTTCATGACATTCGACTCTCGTGAAATTTAGCGACTCCTTTGGGACCCTCGTGACCCTTGTAAAATTTGACTGTCCCCTTGTGACCCTCGTGAAATTTAGCCACCCCTTTGGGACCCTCGTGACCCTTGCAAAATTTGACTCTCCCCTTTGTGACTCTCATGACGTTTGACCCTCATGAAATTGGACCCAATGTGACATGTAACCCTTGCTTTATCGATCACATGAAGACCTATTATTATATCGTCTAACAATTATTAAGTTTATTTCACACACAAAACACGAAACAAATGGAATAATAAGTCATGGCGTTGTCGATCGAATCCTAACGATTTGAACAGAGCGCCAGGCATTCGGCGCCCTAAATGCTGCGCAGTGGTACACGGGCGCGGAGTGGGGGGGCTATGGGACTCGCGTCTGGCATCACTGATTGAGACGGATCCTCGTCGAACCCCTACTTCCTATGATACTCTGGTGTAATAACAAAGCCGCAATGATTAATCCAGAAACAAGTGGTGGAAATAAATTGAGACATGTCATTGAAATTAAAGCTCATCACATCAAAGAGTGTGTTAAAACAGGTTTAATAGTAGTTAAATGGGTTTGTTCGAAAGATCAAATTGCTGACGTATTCACGAAACCTCTTTCTTTTGGATTACATAAAGATTTAACGGATCGAATAATGAATATTATTGAATGAGTACTGAGGTCAACTATTTCTTTTCTGTTCAATTTAGGAACTGATCAAAAGTAGGAGAAATCTGGGACCAAAGGAGAGATGAGATTGTGTGTGATGAGAGACGAGACTTTATACAACGAGATATGGGCATAAATAAAGGCGAGAGATAAACAATGATAGGAGAGGAAATACATTGTGACGTATTTTTCAACGACACACGTGGGAAATCGTGTGCATTTCCATCCACTAACTTTCAGCAACCCTTTTGGAATCTCTCAACCCGAATAAGTACGGAGGTGATTAACGAGAGGAAACAAAGAAAAAATGCCGAAGGGGCGTCAATCTTTTTAACCTTCAAAGGACAAGGTCACAATGTCGAAGCGCGTTCCACAACCAGCTCAGGAAACCGCGGAGGCATGTGGGAACGGGCGAACCTTTAATGCAGTTGAACACCATGGATGATCGGAAATAACAATTGAAATGTATTTTATCAGAATAATAAAAAAAAATTCAGTGAAACGCTATCACAATAGTAATAAGATTCTTACATGCGCGGGAGAGGACTCCCGCGAGCGAAGACTCGATACAATCCAAATAAATAATTTCTCTGAAAATACCAATGATGAGTTTTCAGAAAAGAATTGAATTTATGAAATTACAAAATTAATTATTTCAATGAAACGCGCGAGAGAGAACTCTTAACGCGATATGCCTCGATACAGAGTAATACTAATTCGTGAAATCCGACAATGAAAAATAATAGAAAAAATCAAAGATTTTCGAAATATTAATCGAGGGTGTAGAAGACGCAAACCGTGCGCGAGAATCACCCAGAGCGCGACGACGCGAAGGCCCCACGAATAAAACAATTGAAGAATTTCCAAATGCAATCCAACCGTTAAACGGCAAAAAAAATAATGAAACAAATAATGCTCAATAAATAAATTAGGCCAAAGGCCACGGAGCGCCGCGTCCCGAATGCAAAGGCTCAAATTTTAACACTCAAACGGTGTCCAAAATGGCCACCGGAGAAATGAATCGAAAAATCACGCGAGCACTCACAAATTGAAACACGCTCACCGTTTGATACGCGAGAAACTCCAGGATAAACTCGTCTGGACCCTCAGTACCGCGACGTCAGGAAAAGGCCCAAAAATCCGGGCACACCAAAGTAATAATTGTTTTAACAATTTAAAGAAGCTCAAAGAGCGTAATAAAACTTTAATTGCGTAGAGCGACTTAATATGGCTGAACCCCAGCGAAGAGTGGTCCGTCGGGGCCGTACATCGCCCCGAGGAACCTCAAAATCTTTTCTACCTCCACCCCAATCAACCGATGGTAGCGCGGAGAATCCGCGTCCCAATGAAATTTGAATAATGAATTTTCAGTTGGTAATTATTCAGTATTTATGAATCCCAGAAAACTGAGACCTGCGCCTCGCGATCGGTGGAGGTGATCCGCGTTGAATGGCGCATAAGCCAACATAATCTGCGGCTCCCTCGATGCTACAGCATGAGTTTTTTTCTTGGGTGGCCTTGCGCCACCGATCCATCGGTGATGTAGTGAGGGTTCGCACGTAGAGACCTGAGATGCCTGCTGGCGTGCGTCGATCGTCTCTCACGTCCTTCGTGGTGTGAGTCTCCCAAACTCGGTGTGTGCGTGCTCATCGGTGTGCTACTCGTCATCTGTTGTAGCGCCGACTTGTAGCCATTCCCGATGCTCCGCTCCACTCCCCTCGTCGCGAAGCTCAAGTGTAACCTACGGTGAGCGCGATCGACAGAATTTGAGAGATTAATAAAAGAAAGAGTAAATAAAAGAAATAAAGAAAATGACAATTGTGGCCCTGGGTGATCCGACTTCTCGCTGGGGTAAAAATACTAATTTTCCCCCCATGATCCGTGGTCAGTTCAGACGAGGAACAGTACATGATTTTTATCATGTTACAACATCAAGACAAGATATGAAGGAGAGATATGAAATTAAAGAGGAGAGATCTGAAGAGGACAACAGAAGCAGCCGGGAGGGAGTGTTGGAAATGTAGAACGTCTGCTCGTGTTCTCTTACCAACGCCACAGTTCGTGGTCTCGATACCATGCGACACCGTCGCGAGTATTTTATGTTCGTTACCTCACTTGCACGCCGAGCGTCTAGTGTGTTACTTCGTTAATAAAGTGGTCTTGAATTTATTCACGTGTTCTATTGTTTTATTCCTATAATACTACCTAAAACCCTCCATTTTTTTTATTATAAAGAGAGATTAGATTACAATTGATTTTCCTCGTGAATTCTTCCAGAGTCGCCACTCATTTTAATATTCTTCGCAAAAATACATGGAAATTCGAGGTTGTATAGGTTATGTATCAAAGTCGACAAATAAATATAATGGCTCAATTCTCAATAAATATGACCCGATAGTCTTCAAATCTCTCATAAAAATAGTTTCAGTAAAATTGTCCACACAAATAATATCAGTGATTTGAGTACAGTGCGTTTCCAAATGACTAATTATTTTGGAGATAGGTGATTGAAATAAATGGGTATACTCAGAGAAGAAATATTTATCTTGTCGGTGCCTGGGAAAGAAAAGAGGCCGAGTCAACGTTGTAACTCGCCTCATGCCTTATTTTCACAGCTTTTGGATTATCCAATCGAATTAAAGTTCATGGAGAAAGTGGGATGCTCTTATTTGATATTCTGATTGAAACTGCAGATGGCAGTTTTTCTATTTCTGTAAGATCCTACATTGAGTGTGGGTTTTGAATTTTAATCTTTATAAAATTTTAATTCACTACACTCTCTAATGAATCCTTATGGAAAATCCAACCACACGTCATGACGTCATATTTCGAAAGTTGTGTCACACAAATATCAAATCGATATTGAAAATGTCTCAAAACCCTATCACCTCCTTTGACTGTTCTTAACCCTCTAAGATGAAAAGCATAGTAAAGCGTAGTAGGACGCTCGAGTGGGGATGCTAGCAATCCGCTTTGATGGCCGTAGAGTGGGGATATTGAAATTCACCTTGGGAGATTAAGGTATATCCCTAGACAATAGGACCGAAAAGTTAGTCGCTATAGAGTTCTCCAAAAAATTCTAAATAATTTAATTTATTGCAGTCTTATAAGTTATCAAGTTTTTTTAGTGACATGTGTTATAGATGCAGGCAACAATAACTGTTTGCATCAATTTTTTTAATCAAATAAGGAATGTTTTCTAGAAATTACATTATTTTCAGTTAAATTTCCCAGAAAGTATGTAGTACATAATTTTACAAAAAAATGTGGCGTGAGCCACAATCAATTATTATTCCGCAATTCATATAAAGCGTCTCGAATATTCTCTATCGTTATGTTAGAGACAAACAGCAAGCTATCCTTATCCCTTCCGAAATTTTTGGACAATTATCGAACGTACCATAATAAAAGGTATTTAAAGCCTCAGGCTCCCGGTCAAAATATTCAGTTCGATTTCGAAATCTCCTAAACTGTAGTACAGCTGGTTTTGCATTTTTTTCAATAACTGGGGACTACTATGAACATTATCTATGAAAAACGTACGGACAATCTTGACAAAAATGTATATTCTAGGGATGTAGTATTTCCAATGAATGGGTGGTCACGTGAAAGGGCTGTACCTAGCAATTTTATTCAAATTCGATCAAAGGTAATATTACCATTACCTACCTCGCTTTGTATTTTGTACCAGCACCAGTGACATTGTAAGCATATTTTTACAGTCCCAAATTGTTTAATGTTTACAGATTGGATTAAAAGTTGGTGTACGACAGAGAGGTTGCAATGGATTGAGTTACACGCTCGATTATGCTACCGAAAAGAGTAAACTTGACGAGGAAGTCCTACAAGACGGTGTCCGAGTGATAATTGACCGAAAAGCCCAACTCTCGTTGTTAGGCACTGAGATGGATTACATCGAAGGAAAGTTGAGTTCAGAGTTTGTTTTCAACAATCCAAATATCAAAGGAACCTGTGGATGTGGGGAAAGTTTCTCCGTTTAATTTCAATAAGTGTACTACATTCAGACCCGTGAAGTCAAATTGTGTCATCAAATATAATAAAGAAATCGTAGTTGTTTTGCCGTGTAAATAATAAAATGATACCTTCATGCCGGCCATTTGGATGTACATAGAGAAATCGTTATATATAGAGATTATTCCGGAACACGAGATCTGTGAACTAGGTTCACATGTAACAGACGGTCAGACAAATATATGATGTCATTGAAGTATTCCTTGATGTACTCCATTGCACATGGGCGTTTCAAGGGGGGCAGGGAGGGGGGGGGGAGAGCGAGAGAGAATGATAAGATAAGATATGATGAGTTTATTGTTTAGAGAATTGAACAAAGTACATAACGGGCAGACAGAAACAAAAAGGAAAAGCAAAAAGCAATATACAGAGAAAAGCATGAAAAAACAAAGGAAAAGGTGAGTTCAGGTGCACAGCAAGACCAGCAGGAAGCAGAGAAGCACTCCGGTGGAGACGATGATGAAGATGAAGAAGATTACGAGCAAGAAGATGCCAACGCTTCGCGTGCAGGCATCCAGCACCCCAGTTGGCGCTTAAAGGATGCAGGCAAGGCCAAATCCCTGAAACAGGCGGGAATTCTATTCCAAATCTCAGGGCCAGTAACTGCCAAAGCAGCCCGGAAGGTATCTGTCCGATAGGGACAATCAGGGCTTGCTGAACCAGCACCTGGCGGCGTGGCCTGGTGGAGGTATAGGCCAAGAAAAGTTCAGCCAGGTATGCAGGTTTGCCAGTTCTCAGCACGTGATGCATGATAGATGCAATGGCAGAGGCTCTATAGTCCGAGATAGTCAGCCAGCCTAGGCTGCGTCTAGCGGCAGAAATAGGCGCGTCACGAGGCAGGCCAGTGACGAATGGTACAGTCCTGTATTAGGCGCTGCAGTTGGAGGTCAAGCACAGAACCCACGCACTGAAGCACTGCAACACAGTAGAGAATGTGAGGGAAAATGAGGGCATTGACAAGTAGCTGCCGCAGAGGTACATCAGTGTAATTACGCAAGCTGTAGAGCTGGTAGAAAGCAGCATTAATCTTGGACGTAACAAGCTGAACGTGGTTGACGAATGTGAGCTTGCTGTCGATTGTGTGTGTATTAAGGGTCTCCTTATGACCCTTAACACCCCTACAACCCTTAGCACCTCTATGACCTTCGTGACCCTTAAGACCCTTAGTACATCTGTGACCCTCGTGGCCCTCATAACTCAGCCCCTCTATGACCTTCGTGACCCTTAAGACCCTTAGTACATCTGTGACCCTCGTGGCCCTCATAACTCAGCCCCTCTATGACCCTTATGGCCCTTAGCACCCCTATGACCCTTATGACCCTTAGGGCCCCTATAACCCTTGAGATCCTGGAGACCCTCGTGACCCTTGTGATCCTTAGCCTCTCTATAACCTTTATAACCCTTAACACCCCTATGAACCTTAGCACCTCTATGACCCTCGTGACGCTTATGACCCGTAGCACCCCTATGACCCTTATGACCCGTAGAACCCCTATGACCCTTAGTCTTATATTTGTTATATAGAGAGCACCCCCCCTATAAGCGCAACCCCCCCATGGGCACCCATGGAAGCGAGGGCCTCCACACCTTCTAGACCCTTCAGACCTTTGAGACCCTTGAGACCCGCCAGGGATGGGGGCGTCCCCTGAATTTTGAGGCTGAAAGATTTTTTTATTATATAGAGATACTACTAACATCGAGATAATTTACTAAATCTTGAGGTGGCCGCAAGTTGCCAAAGCTATCGAAATAGTTGATATATTTATTCTTCTTTTTATAAGCAACCCAATGAGTGCCAGGTCCCTCACTATCATCGAGATTTATTGCAGCAGACTCCTGCTTTCGGGGACCATTCTTGGGGATATCGTTCCTTATAGACACACCTCGAAAATGGCGAATTTTCATTGCTTTAGCAAATTTTAGTATATCTATATTAGTGAGAGCTCGGTGTGGTGGTTTTACAAGTTTTTTGGACTCAAATGGAGTCCTGAGCATTGCTTATAGGGCTTCAAATACAAACCCTTGCCAAGAGCAATATCTTCCATACTACGATTATGTCGCTTACTCTCCTCAAGGGTTTCCCTAGCAGCCTTAGCATCATTGACAGCTTTTGCAATACCTGCAGCACCTCCAGCCAAAGCACCTGTAGCACTGAGTCCAGCGAAGAGAGGGATGAGGAAAGCAGGCAAAATTCTATCGGTTTTCGTAGGAACAGGGAGGATGCGAGGCAAGGGACGAATTCCCCTTTTCCCCCGAGCATGTTTTACAGCCTGACGTGCACCCTTCAATGCTGTTCTCACTGCATCGATTCCTGGGAGCACCGAGGCTTTAGAAGCATCAATAATCTGACGCAATGGGATCTTCTTCTTCCTTCGCTTGCTACCCTCTCCAATTTTTCTTTTTTTAACTCGTCCAGTCCCTCTCTTCAGCTTATGACCCTTTGCAGTCCTCTCGCTTTTTTTATGTCAGGGTTCCTCTTTTTGCGTGCACTCATACCAAGTTTTCTCTTAGCCTTCATGCTGTTTACCACCCCCCAAGCTACAGCTTTTTCTGCAAGACCAGCGTCCTTCACCAACACTCGACTCCAAGCTCGCTCTTCTAAGATGCTATCAGCTTTATGTCTAGTAGGCAGATTATCTTTCCTCTGAGAGTAGGCAATATCGTGCTCCTTACAGGCCTCGTCAAGACGATTTATCCCACGATCACCACGAGCCAATCTTTTGGCTAATTTCGTGCCTGGTGCACAGTATTGATAACCTGGTACATGTAATTCCACTGGCAATTTATTAATCACCTTATTCAAAAAACCATCACCATTTGACTCTCTCTTACGTTTGCACGTAGCCATGGTCTGTCAACCACTGACAGAACTCATATAAATACCGCGTATTTATAATTGCTGTGGCAGTTGTCAAGATGAAGTTCAAGAAGCAAAATGTGAAACTCTCTGTCATCAATTTTGATCAAATCGTTCAGCAAAAGAAGGGTGGGGGAGAAAATCGACATAGAATTCTTCTACCGAATAGCGTGCATGCAGTCATATGTGGTCCGTCAAATAGTGGCAAAACAAATGTCTTGTTCGCACTCATCACTCTTCCAAATGGATTGAGATTTGAAAATGTTTGTGTCTATTCGAAGTCGCTAATCCAACGAAAATATCAGTTTTTGAAACAGTTGTCCGAATCTACAAAAGTAATTGAATATTTTCCATTCAGCAATCATGAGGAGGTGATCAAACCTGGGGATGCTCACCCCAATTCCATCATAATCTTTGATGATGTTGCTTGTGAAAAACACGACAATATGCGAGCATTCTTTTGTATGGGGCGCCATCAAGATGTGCACTGTTTCTATCCCTGTCAGACTTACGCTCGCATCCCAAAACATTTGGTGCGTGATAATACAAATTTTCTGATACTCTTTCGTCAAGATGAGATGAACTTAAAATATATTTATGACGATCATGTGAATATTAATGTCATATACACAATTCAGAGATTTGTGCTCAACCTGCTGGAATATGGACAAATATGGTTTTATAGTAATTGCTAAGGACAGTGAATGGAATGATGGACGCTATCGAAAAGGTTTCGACTGTTTCGTAACCATAACTAAGCAATGATCGTCAACATTGAATACAGTGTTGACTTGAACGTCTACTGATCAACATGCATCGCAAGGTATTGCAGAAAGAGTCGAAAGTTTAACATCACATTGCTCTAGCAAGACATTGCTCTTCAAGAATGAAAATCGTCGAAAATGGTGAGAATAAAAGTCATCACTTTCCTATGTCTTTTTAAGGCTCGAATGTAATTCTTTCGTTTTTGCGAAAGAATTAGATTGGTATAAGATAAATCAGTCAAAAGTGATGCTGATCAACTCCCGATACGTTTAAATATTAAATATTTGTATAAAAAGTGTGGACGAAGGGATTCTTATTTTCCTTGATTGGACGTGTGTGGAGAAAACATAATTTAATCCGAATAATATAGTATGGATGGATAGTTTTGGCTCATCCTACATCACTGAGGGACTACTAAGCTTTGCAGAGGACCATCACGGGGCCTAGGGCACGAGTTACAACAACGAGAGACCTTATAAAACACTATAAAAGCATCACACCTTCACATTCCCACGTCCGAGTTATTCACACCTGTCAAAACCTTGCCAGCGGAGTGATTTGGATACCCCGATATCCTGAATTACATCAATAGGGCGCAGCACGTTACGGGGTCCACCCAACCTAATCTAATACCTACACAATACCCGAAACTCTTCCATGAGGCGACAAACATCTCCAGAAAGACGTCACATACCACCTGGCATGAAAATTCACCTAAGATGAATAGATGGCGCCACCCCGCAGCACGTGACCGGCGAAATATGCAAATGAGGCCGGGATTGGCTAATCGTTTGAATTCAGGGCCAATGTCAAGGCCCAAGAGAAATGGAGCAAGATACATGTGATCGAGAGGGTAATAATCATTTCCGCCTTTCTCATCACTTCCATCTCTACCGTCAAACAGCTTCAGCTTCTCTGACAGGAGAAATTATTAGTTGTTACGGAGACAATCGACTCCATCTTGAAACCGCGGAGGGCATCCAAGTCGATGCAATTTTGATACGAGAGATGTTAGATGTTAGATCAGGCGATCCATGCGATATTCCGCGGCAAAACATTAGGGAGAAATGACCGGCAGCGATAAGAGAATTTTCTGAGATACTCATAATTTGGACTTGTGGTTGTATTTTGTTTTATTCTTTATAATTCTTCTCCGGAGGAGCAAAGGAGAGAGAAATATATCTCGACTAGTATCGCCGGTACGAGGCATAGTGGAAGCCCACGTTGTGTCTACGGACCTGCAAAGCGTGTATTTACCATTGGTGAATTATTAAATTTACAACCAAGCCTCTTGTTTCTCCGGACAGCAATTCATTAATTATCTTCGGGTCATTATTATTTTGAGTTTGTATAGAGTCTGTTGGACCGGAATTCTGTGGAAATTGTTATTATGTTTACTATCTTGGTTATTATTTTTCTTTATATTTTTCGTAGCGAACGAAAGTATTACTTCAGTTGTATTATTATTTTGGGTGACGACCCGCATTTATCACATTTATTTTTGTTTTCTCGAATAATTGAATATCATGTTTATAAAATAGAGAAATCTTGACTTACTCGATACTCTTCCTCTCTTTATTCTTACTGAACTACTCCCTCTCCCCAACAATAAGGTATTTAAGTTGGATTTCTTGAAGAATTAAAGGGTTCTGAGGCACCGTATTTACACCTCATCACAATCGTACAGTACGACTTCACAAGGTTTAGCTTATTCAGTTACCAGAGACTCCCCTCAATAGTAATGATTGATAATAAATAATACAGGGTATCCCATAGCATGTGACCAAAGGAAATTGCGTAGAATACCGCCAGGTGACAGTGCAATCTAAAGTCTAATATATGGTTGAAGTGGAGACTCTCCGCAAATTTCATTCATGCTTCAGTCACTCGGGAATTGCAGCACTAAAATGGAAAATTTAACTATCGAACAAAAATCATTCCTCATCAAATCATATTACCGAAAAGGAAATTCAGCTACTGCAGCTATAAGAGTATTTCATTCTAAGTATAGCATACACACTGGAGTGTCTGATTCGAGTCTCAAACGGTAAATAAAGTGAATGAACTAACCAAAAAACTTTGTTTTCTTTTGTTGAGAATTGACGCATTTTTCGACCAATTATGGGTATTTTCAGGATAATTAAGAAATTTGATCAGTACGGTACACTAGACGATAGAAGGTATGAGCATCCTGGTCCTTCACGTACTGTAACCACGGATGAAGTTGTCCGCACAACTGAAGAACATTTCAAAAAATATCCAGATACTCTCCGAAAGGCTTCTCAAACCTTGAAAGTCTCAAAAACTTCACTTCACCGCATCTTGAAAGTGTTTTTAAACTTCCATCGCTACAAAATTTCTGTACATCAATTTTTAAGTGAGGAGGCGATGGCTCGCCGTGTGCCATTTTGCCAAGAACTTCATAATTTTCTTGAATTCAAGGAAATGAAGGCACAGAATATCATCTTCTGGGATGAAGCACATTTCTACTTAAGTGGCTTAGTAAATAAACAAAATTTTCGCTTTTGGGGGACTGACTCACCTCACGTTATTGAAACAAAGTCTTCATACCCGAAAAAAGTCATTGCATGGGCAGCAATCACAATAAAAGGTATTTTCCTGGAATTTATTGAGTCCGACAATCAGTGCTGATATTTACTGTGAGTTCTTGAAGAAGAACTTCTTTCCTTGGGCATGAAAAAATCAATTAGTCAAGAATTTCTACTTCATGCAAGATGGTCCCGCCTAACACAAGACTGCTAGAGTAATTGAAATACTTTTTTCCGTTTACGGCACTCGTGTGTTAGGCTTGGGTTACCCTAAGTATGCCCATGGGGGTATGGAATGGCCGTCTTACAGTCCGGACTTAAATCCATGCAATTTTTACCTATGGGGTTTTCTGAAGGACAAGTGCTATGAGAAGCATCCGACGACGGTGGGAGAGTTGCAAGATGCAATTAGGGATGCTATCCGAGCTGTTGATAAAAACACAATACAGTGCATCTATACCAGTTTCGAACGCAGGATAGTGTTCTGTAGTACAAGTGATGGCGGATACTTGGAAGGAATTGTATTGTAATTTGCCGAAACTTCCTTGTACAATAAAAAAAGAACAATTATTTACATTTTATTGTATCCAAGTTGTTTGCAATTTACTTTGGTTACATGCTATGGAACACCCTGTAGTTGCGCGAGGGAATTAATCTCCGGATTTTTACCTCGTGATAAATGGAAGACCTGTTTGATGCGCCTAGCTTACTGAGTCAATAGAGACTCCAACTGTTATTCTGAATTTAAACAAAAATCACTACACACGAAGAGTGATAATCTTTAAAATCTGCCTCGTCACAAGTGAAAAAAAAAATTCTTTTTTTCAATGTCAAGTCCGAGATTTGAACTCGGGAACCCTCGTTCCGCTGCGATATTGTAGCTAATAATTATACTCAAGTCTGTGACGTTGAAACCAGATTAAACTAATTATTTCACTCAACTTTCAAATTATTTTCCCAAAATAATCCAGTTTCAAAGGTCTTGTAGACTTAAATCACGTACACGGTGGATTTTCCACAATAGATGCCTTTTGGTATTAAATTACTATTATTTATACTTTCTTTTATTTTTGTTTGGGCCAAAGTATTATTAAATTCTATCAGAATAATTATTTTATTAATTAATATTCGATAATTGAATCTGTTCAAGGACTTCCGTTTCCGGTCTGCGAGGAGAGTGTGGCAGGTATATACAGTGCTTGGGTTTTTTGCTCTTTTGAAGAGGCTTAGAGGTTGTGTGGGTGGGCAGAGGGTGGAACGGGTGGAAGAAGGGAGGAGTGGTGTGTGAAGGGGTGTGAAAGTGGTGTGTTTGGGGTATGAGTAGGTGAAGGAGGGTTAAAAGTGTGGTGGGCGAGTTGGAGGTTAGCTTGGCACGGAGTGAACGGGGGAGAAAAGGAAGAAAGCGCGGGGGCTTGGGCGGTGTAGGGAGAATTGGTGTAAGGGAGAGAGGGTGGTGAAGGGGGATACAACAGATTGGAGGGATATTTAGGGGTGGCTTCAGGGGAGAAAGAGCTAGGTTGATCTTGGCGTGAAGGGGAGGAGGGGGATAGGTGTTGTTTTGGCGGGAGACAGGACGTGGAAAGGGGAAGGTAGCGACAGATAGAGAGAAGCGGTGATAAGGGCAATTAAAGATCGGACAGGTCGATAGAGCAGGTGAGAAAGATAAGGAAGGGAAATGAGTCATTTGTTCCGCTCAGTGGTGGTGTCGTCGAGGTCGATGGAGATACCGGCGAGCGGGAAGGGGGGAGCGGGTAGTGGCGACGAAGGAGGGGCGAGAGAGGAGGATACGGAAGATTTGAGCGGGAAGGGGAATGAGCAGGATAGTGGAGGCCAAAATGAGACCGTGTATGAGTCTTCGATAGAGTTGTCGGGCCTTTCTGATAAAGAGTGGGGCGGGGAGGCAGAGGTGGGGAAGAAAAAGAGTGGGAGTCCCACGAATTTGGAGAGGCTAGAGAGGTTTGGTAGGGTTATTGGGAGGAGAACCAGATCTCTGTCGTCGCTGGAGGCATGGGAGAAGGAGGAAATGGAGGATTACGGGAGGAGGGGAAACAGGTCGGAGAATAGCGAAGGTAGTAAGAGGAGGAGGTCGGTGGAATTGAGGGGTTGGAAGCGCTGGAAAGAAAAGCAGAGAAGGTGGAAGCTCTGGAGAAAATGGTGGGGGAACAAAAGTTGGGAAAAGAGGAAGAAGGGGGAGAGGGGGGGGCAGGTGTGCAGAGAAGATGAGAAACTGAAGGAAAGAGTATGGAAACTGGAATTGTGGGAGGAAAAAAGGAAAAGGGAGAGGAGAAGTAAGAATTTGGTGGTGAGAAAGATTGAACTGGGAGAAGGGAACGGAAGACAGGAGGTTGTGGAACTGCTGACAGGGGTGTTGGAGGTCGAGGTGGGGGTGAAGGGAATGAGAAAACTGGGGGGAAAGGATGGGCAAGGGAGGGGGACAGTAGTGGTGGAGCTGGAGGACCCCAGTCAGAAAAGGAAGGTGATGGAAGGTAGGGCGAAACTGAGGGGTAGGCCAGAGAGGCTGGATAACGATCTAACGTGGATGGAAAGGAGGATGCAGTGGAGGCTGGAGCGCGTAGAAGGAATAGAAAGAAGGAAAGGGAGGAGAGTAAGGGTGGGAAAGGGAATGATGTGGATTGATGGAGAGAGGTGGATTATCGATGAAAGAACGGAGAAACTATGGAATGAGAGGGATGAGGAATGGCAGGATGTGAGAAGGGAGGGCCAGAGAAGGGTGGGTAACAGGACAGAGGAGGTAGATAATGGAGAGATGGAGACAGAGCTGATCGATCAGCCAGGGGGGGAGGATCAAATAGTCAGTAGGGAAGGGGGGGCAGGATCGAAACGGGAAGAAAGGAGGGAGTGAGAATAGTTTTTTGGAATGTGAGGAGATTAGAAAGGAAAGACAAAAACTTTTGGGAGAGGATGAGGAGAGGGGACGTTTTGGTGTTAATGGAGACTTGGACTGAAAAGGCAGGCTGGGAGAGGGTGAAGGAGAGACTGCCTGACGGGTACTGGTGGAAAGTACAACTAGCCGCAAGGGATTATAAGAAAGGGAGGGCGAAGGGAGGAATGCTGATGGGAATAAGGAAGGAGTTGAGCGACGGAGAAGAGTGGGAAGGAGTGGAGGAGGAAGGAAAAGAGACGGAGGGGAGGATAGAGGGAAAGATAAGACTGAGGAAGGAAACATGCAGAGTAATAGGGGTATATGTAAATAGGGATATGGACAGGAAAATGGAGAGGGTCAAGAAAGAAATGGAGAGAAAGGGAGAGGAGATAGTAATGATAGGGGGGGACTTTAATGCTGCGACGGGGACGGAAGGGGGACTGGTGGAGGATGATGAAGGGGGGGAAGAGAGTCAAGAAGGTCTAAGGATAAGAGGGAGGTGGATAAAGAGGGAAAAATGCTGGTGAAAGCGCTGGACGAAACGGGATGGACGATTTTGAATGGAAACCACAAGGGGGATGAGGAGGGAGAGTTCACAAGAGAGGAAGGAGTAAATAGGACGGTCATAGACTACGTACTGACGGATGATAGGGAGAGGGGAATAGTGGAAAGTATGGTGGTGGGAGAGGAATGTAATTCGGATCACTTCCCACTGCTGGTAACGGTGAAAGGAGAGGAGTCTAGGAGGGCAGGGGGACCCAGAACGAAGGGAAGTAGGAAGTCACTCAAGGTATCTTTCTGGGAGAGAGAGGAGAGAGAAAAACTGAGAAGAGAATTAGAGAAGATGGAATGGGGGGAGGGTTCGGTGGATGAGATGGTGAAGGAAGTAAGGGAAAGGGTGAAGGAGATCAAAAGTAGGATAGAGAGCGAGATGAAAAGGAAAGGGAAGCGTTGGGGGGACTGGTGGGACGTGGAGTGCCAGGGGAATAAGAAAGAGGTGAGAAGGACTCTGAGGTAGGCGAGGAAAGGGAAAGTGTCGAGGGATGAGTATAGGGTTAGGAAAAGGGATTATAATAAGTTATGTCTGAGGAAGAAGGAGGAGGAGTGGGCAAAGTTTGAAGCGGAGGTGGGGAGGGCAGTTGAGGAGGGGAGAGTATGGGAGGTTGTGAATAGGGAGAGGAAAACAAAGAAGAAGGTAAACGAAAGGATCGGGTTGGAGGAATCGAAGGACTATTTTAGGAGGCTGTTAGGAGGAGTAGAATAGAGAGTGTTAGGGGAGGGTAGGAGGGATGGATGGGATGAGGGAGAGGACGGTTTATCATACGAGGAGGTGGAAGTGGTGTTAAAGAAGCTGAAAGGGGGAAAGGCGACAGGAGAGGATGAGATAGAGAATGAGATCTGGAAAGAAGGGGGAGACGGGATGACAAGGGTAGCGTGGAGGATATGTAATGGTGTCTGGAAGGGTGGAGGTTGGCCGGCAGAGTGGAAAGATGGGCTGCTGGCCCCAATAGTAAAGAAAGGGGTGGGTAAGAGGATGGCGGAGTACAGGGGGGTCACACTGATGCAAACACTGTACAACGTGTATGCGTCAGTGTTGACAAAGAGATTAGAGAAGGAAGTGGAGGAAAAGGAGATGGTGCCGGATAACCAAACGGGATTCAGGAGAGGGATGGGCACGATAGATAATATCTTCGTGCTCAACTATCTGGTGAATAGGCTGGTGGGGGAGAAGGGGGGAAAGTTGGTGGCGTGTTTCATTGATTTGAAGGCGGCTTTTGACTCGGTGAGCAGGAAAGTGTTATGGGAGGTGATGAGGGACAGAGGGATCTCGGAAGGGTTAACGGAGAGGGTGAAGGAGATTTACAGGGAGACGGCGAGCAAGGTTAGGGTAGGGGATAGGGTATCTGGGAAGTTCTGGACAACGAGGGGGGTTAGGCAAGGGTGTCCGCTGAGCCCGATCTTATTCAACGTGTTGCTGGCGAATCTGGAGGAGAAACTGAGGAAGAGGTGGAAGGGAGGAGTACTGTTGAGAGCGACGAAAATCTTTTCGCTGGCGTATGCGGACGATATGATCGTGTGAGTGGAGAATGAAGCGGGGATGAGGATGATGATGGGATTTATGGGAGAATATATGAGGAGGAAGGAGTTGACGATTAATGCGGAGAAATCAAAGGTAATGTTGTTCGAGGTTGGAAAGAGAGAGAAAGGGAAATGGGTGATGGCGGGGAGGGAGGTGGAGGAGGTAAGGGAATTCTGTTACCTGGGGTATTGGTTTTAGAGGAATGGGAGACAGGAAAGGCAGGTGACGAGTAGGATTGAAAAGGCGGAGAAGGTGATGGGGCCGGTGTGGGGGATAGGAAAAAGAAGACTCAAGAGGGATTGGAAGAAGAGGATTTGGCTATTTGATACGCTGGTGTGGTCGGTCATGGGGTACGGGGCGGAGATTTGGGGGTGGAAGGAAAGGGATGGGGTAGAGAGGATGCAGGAGAGGTACATGAGATGGGTACTAGATCTAGGAAAGGGGACGCCGGGATACCTAGTTAGCGAAGAATTGAAGAGGGATAAACTGAGGACAAGAGCGGCGAAGAGGGCGTGGAATTTTGAGGAGAAGCTGAGACGGGGAGAGGGAAGGAGCATCGCGAGGATCTGTCTGAGCGAAATAGAGAGAAGGGAGTCTCAAAATGGGAGGAGGAGAGGAGGAGGTTCAGGGAGGAGAGGGGGCTGTTCGGTTTGATGAAGAGAAGGGGGGAAGGGGGTGTGGGAGGGTAAGTTTTGAAGAAGTGGAGAAGATGGATAGGGAGAGGCAGAGAAAAGAAAGATGGGGAAGGATAGTGAAGTCAACCTCGAATAGGTGGTATAAGGGTGTAGGATCAGAAGGGATCCCGGAATATCTGGAGAAAGAATGGGGGGAGGAAAGGTGGAACAGACTGGCTAGATATAGGTTAGGTGATGGAATGAGAGGGGAGAGAGAATGGGAGGAGGAAAGGAAAAGATGTAGGAAATGTCATGCGAGGAAGGAAACATAGACGCACGTTTTGGAGGTGTGTAGAAACGAGGAGGGAGAAGAAAGGAATGTGTAGGACAGAGTACGGGAGATTCTGGACGAAAAGGGAGAGGGTGAAAGGTGGATAATAGAATGGGAGAAGGAAGGGGTCATGGCAGTGAATGAGTGAGGGGGGATGTGTGGTTGCGTGGGTATGTGTGGAGGGAGGGGGGTGCTGTGGGAAGGGTTTCAGGGAGGGATAGGGCAGGATGAAAAAAGAATAGGGCTCTGGAAGAATCAGAGGAACATCGGAGACCGGAAGCGGGGGACACTCGCACTTGCACTCGCCCTCTCATACTCAGGCTCACTGTCGCACTTGCTCTCTCAATCAACACTCGCTTTCAGTCTAGTAGGTTAAGTTGTACATAGTAGTTATAAGTTGATAGGATTAAGTAATGTAAATAGTAGATTATATTATTAGTAATAGCTTTAGAAAAGAAATTATAAAGTGTATGTACGGAGGGGAAATGGAAGTTCTTTGTATCGCCTAGAGGAACCAAATAAAGAAATATATATAATTAAATCTGTTCAGGCGAAATTATATTTGTTCGGGCTATTTTCTATTATTTGGGCCGGATAAATGAAAAGAGATGTTTTCGAATTAATAAAAAAAAATACTATTTATTCAATAAACATAAATTATTGTTCGGGCCTTTTTAACACAAAGTAGTAGTGTGAAACTAAATCAATAATAAACATAAAAGAAATATTAATGAAAAATATTCAATAAAAGAAAATACAACTTATTGTGTATTTGAGGCGTCCCTCAAATCACCACGCGTCCACTCCAACTTACGACGCTAATTTCCTGGTTTCCTAATTAGCAAAAATATAACTCCAAATGAATTTAAATTCCAAAAATATTTTTGTTATAATATTCTATATGATTTTATTTAATTTCGGGGATAATTCTCAGAGTCCATTCGTCGTCAATTGCTTTGATATTCAAAGATGAAATTTAATTAATTTCGATTTTCTCCAATTTTGCCAAAATGGCCAAAATGGCGACACTAGAGAAGCCAGGTACGCTTCGGGCTTTCCTCTGAATTTCCTACTAACTCAGTCATATAATTATCAACTTTTATGCAGTAAAAAAGATTTTCAATTCTATTCTACTATTCTCACTTATTATTTCGCGAGGACCGTTCAATTTTGACACGATCTCCGCAGTTACTATTTGCCCTCTGCCACACACGTAATTTATGTTATGTTTACTCATGTGAGTGGAAGAGATTTATTTCTCTCGATTACTTCGTTTTTTCCGCGTTTCCTCGACGTTTCTTGACTTTCCCTCATTTCCTTCACTCCTCAAGATGTTCCTGAGGCCTGAGATACACTTAATTACTAAGTAATGTCTTACTAAATAACTATTTACTAATTACTATTTACGAGGGGTTTGTCAATCTTTGATGTCGTCACGCAAAGTGAAGAATTTCCGGGCTTCTCCCTTGTCGCAGGTTTTTTCTCCTCCATATCATTTCCCACCAATCCGGGCCATTATTCTGTTATTTCCGCTAATGGAGAGCATCCTTTTATTCCTCCTTTCATTTCTCCCTAATTCACCCTCGATCAGGGTCGATTAGCACGCCTCGACGGTCAAGGTAAAAGTTTGTTGAACTCTGATAATGAGGTCGATATCCTTTTTATCGACCCACCATCGACAACTGGTGCTCGAAGTCCAGTGTTCCTGACAGGAGCATGGTTCCATTTCTTTAAGCAGTTCCCACTACCTAAGCCATCCTAGAGCCTTCAAGGTCCACTCCAGTACTCTGACACAATCCTCTAGTCAAACTACGGGCCCTTCCGAATACTTGGGGAGTCCTCGTCTAGTCCTGTCGTACATAACCCCACTTGCCACAACAGTGGGCCATGTGAGTCATGTGTTTTCCACTTATTCTATCAGGTCTCTGGAGCTTTTCTCTAACTGTCGTTACTCCTCAGGGTTAAGGGAATAATCTTGAGTCTCTTTTCGGATCTAGGGCTTCAATCTTAGCACTCAGATCCTGGATAACCCTTCGGGATGCTCTCCAGGCGATTCCACCTCTTCTCAGACAACTCCATAGGACTCCGGGTTTCCTTCCAGTGAAATGCCTTTGCATTCTGCTTCTCCAGTCAGTACACTCCACAAAATCCGAGATAACTTACTAATATTTACAAATCTCCGAAGCTAATGGGTAAAAGAACAAGAGGATAGGCTCTCTCATTAACAACTAATTAATTTCCTTTTAATAACTTATTATTTCCAATTATTAATCCGGGTTTTTAAGTGACCTTCGTCACAAGTCAAATCAATTTGTTGTTACCACCACTTTTACATAACTATGATAACAATAACATACAACAACCATTGGAATATGAGAATAATCATTTTAAAAAAACAAACCCGGGTTTGTTCTGTCTTTCCAGGACTCCATCTTCATTTTTCACTTTTGCTAACGTGGCTATTAGGAGAATTTGTGTTTATTAAATTTTAATATGTTCAAATATTGAAATCCCATTGAAAAGTAAAAAGAAAACAGAAGAAAAAAAATCATGTCCGAGATTTGAACTCGGTGACTCTCGCTTTACCAGCAAACCCGCTAGCACTTTTTTTTATTTAACAATGTTTTTCCTCAGACAAAAAAATCATAAACAATACAAATCGGTGACAAGATATTTTGCGAGCTCATGACCATCCTCGTTGAAATGTTCTTGGTCTGTCTTCATTAGAGCTGCTTCCTCCACCATTCTCCGCATGATGATTATGATAAAGCTTAATCCCGGATGACGTCAACCTTCACAGAAAATTCCACGATTGTGCTGCCACCTGGTGGCGATGGATACCTTGGTTCAGAACCCGCCTAACCTAACATGTGTGGCATGAAGAATTTGGACAGGACCACAGAGGCAAAAGCATAGTTTGGCCGAATTTTGGGGCACCTGAGGAAAGTAAGATGAATTGGAGGGAGTAGGAGAACCAGAGACGAATTAAGTCGGAGGCTGAGAGGCAGTAAGTATGAAGCATGTAGCAGTGAAAATACTAGTGCTGGCGATGAATCCAGGGGCTACAGAAGTCAAGGAATTGGTCCACGGTGGAACATAGGGACGCTAAAGGAGGGAGAGTTTATGTGAAATTTCCATACATCCTGCGAGAAGTGGAAGGCTGATGGGCAGTAAATATGAGATACACAACAGGCGTGAAAGAATCAACATGAAACGATGGCGATGAAGGTAAATAGTGAGGGAACGAGGTTATGGCTGAGGCAAGGCGGAGGTCTTGGCCACTGGAGAAAACGTAATTTTTGGCGGTATGACAGTATAGCTTCATGAGGAAGACCATGAGAGACATAAAATGATCAAAAGGACTGGAAACTGAAAGGGACGGCGAGAGGATGGAGGATGGAAATGACTACAACAGGGATGGAAGAAACTGAGAGGAACATCGGGAATGCGGATGGAACCGGACCAGCGGAAGGATGGAGTATCGGAGACGGATCTTTCAGAATGAACGTGACATGATGTCATTTGTGACAATTTTGTTGGATTATTTGCGAATGTTCTTAAAAATGTTTCAAGACAGTGTAGATGTCTGCGTTGGTTTCTGGTAAGATCTGCTTACCTTTGTGTTATTGTTTACTTGCGAGTGAGGCATAAGGCAATTTTCTTATAATTATTTGACATTTTAGTTTTGAGGCTTTCGCGGCCATTATTAATGACTTGGTTGGCTTCCGGATGGATGCCGCGTTGAGTTTCAGCATTGCGCCGACGTTTCGCAAACATTGCAGTCTGCATCTTCAGGGCTATGAGCTCCGATTCTGAGCTCCGATGTGTGGGGGCAGTCCTTATATACCTTCCC